TTGCTGGGCCGGTTTTCAGAAAACTGAGCCGGTCATTTAATTCAGAATGTCAAAATACGTATAATCGTATAATTTGAGGCTTTATGTACTAGCCAAAACAATTCTAGAGATATGTTTGGGGGTGAGACAAAAGTGAGGGGTGGGACATTTTGATGTATTTTTCAAATTTCTTCCTTTAAAAATAAGCTGAAGCCTTGCTATTAAAAATACTATACGGACAGATAAAGATGCAGTAGTACGTAATGTATAATTATTTTATAGTTTTTTCTGTGTACATTTGTCCTATTGTTTTTATAGTCACTACAGACTCTGAAAATGAAAAGTAACCAGCTGCAAAGTACAAAAACTGTCAAGAAAGTAGTGTGAGTGATGAATTGATGGTAGATTAAATACTACATCATGAATCAGTGACGAGATGACTAATGGTAAACCAGGATCACTTTTCATATTTGAGAAATACAATAACCACGACTGGAACGATAAACAAAAATAATTTTCTTCTTATTTTTTCAATTTTTTTCTAGTCTAATACTTATATGCTGCATACAAAAAAACAAGAACACCCTTTGGTGCCATCATCTAATAACAGCAATACATGCGGTCTGTGACGGCAAAGTCTCGACTTGCTACGCTTATTACGAGTTTTAGGAAATCTACAAGTTCAGTGAGCAGTTCAACATGTGCATTTTGACTTTTCAGCGAAAAAAAATTCAGAACTATCTGTTGATAATAGCCATTCGTCATCTTTAGAGCCATATATGGACAACATTTGAACATATCAAATAAAAGTTTAGTTTAGCTGTGTTCTCTTGTAGCCGATTTTCCAGAAAGGATTTTGATGGTAAAAACGGACGTGATGTCAAGAATACCGATAATGTTACTAATTTTGTGAACTTTCTAAGAATTATTGGCATGATAGCATAAAATTCATTAGCAGTGCGAACATTATAAATCCTAAATGTTTCCAAATTTGAAAAAATATGTATAAATAATTCAACATTGTCAGTTGACCAGACTTTCTTGTCACCACTTAAATCTAGCTCTTTGATTATCATATTTGCTAGACGTTCACGAATTTGATCTGAACTTTTGAGTAAACGAAGGAGATTAATGCCGTTTAATCGTAACAAGTGAATATTAGGCGCCGACACAAGTAAACGTTCGAATGTTTCAGAAGGCCACGGGTGATTATCCCATATTGTTAACTGCTTTAAGTTCGAAAATTGAATTATTTTGTCTAGGTCGTCTAAAAACGATGGATTTACTACCTGCGACTTATCTAGAAAGAACAATGATTTGACACTACAGTATTGATATTTCGTGTAGCGCAATTGGTTATAATCAGAAACTGATAATTCATCGACATCGATACTCGTTGGTGATGTAATAAATTCGTCACTAGTAGTTGATTTAACTGTATTTCTTAAAAAGAAGAAAATTAAACAATGGAATACAAAGATTATGGAACATTCAGGCAAAGATAACCCATATGATATAACACGGAAGTTCTAAATGCGCTTCAGCCTTTAAGGAAGCCACCGTTCCAATGACAAAGAGTCTCTTATGTTCCACAGACAAATGGAGTCACCTATTTATTATGAGAGCTAGAAAATCGAAACACAAACTTGAACTGCATCATTCAAAGTTGTATGATAAGTGGTGCTTTATGTTCTGAATGTCACACGAGCGGTCGAGTGTGTGAATGGGATACAGAAGATTTATTCATTAGACATCGAACAAAGATGGGAAATGTAAGAAAATGTATTTATGTTTTCTTACATTTTACGTTCTTTGTCAGCTGATCAGAAGAAAAAGACAACGTAAAAAAAACACGTCTCTATTTTTTTCTTTCCGTTCTATATAGAGGCACGTGGGGCAATTAGAACGCGATCAAAAAGTTTTGTGGTATTTTTCTAGTAACTTTGAAAGCTTAGAAGTTTCCACAAAACTTCCAATGCAAAAGTTGTAGACTTGGGTAGTAGGCACCGAATGGTGCAAAAATCAATCGAAAATCTCACCAGAAAAAGGATTGGGAGCAGTTTTACTGTGAGAGGGTCCGAAACATTCTTATTTCCCACTTGTGGGAAATTAGAACGTTTGCTGTGTCTGCATGGGGTAAATGGAACGCATCTACCAAAAGTAATGGGATTTCCTTCAAAATGTATTTTCTATTTTATATCTCTGTTTCACACTATCGATACAAGGTTCTTTAGAAAAAGATTTAGAGGATTGTTTCACTCATGCACTAATGTGCTTTGGAAAGTCAATGCACGTACCCCGGAATATGACGGCGAGTACGAAGGGCACATTTGTGTTCGAAATCGTGTAGTTTCCTAGAGCTGAAAGCAGTTTAACACTTGTTACTCTATGCATTCAATACCGACACACTTCCTTACCAATTAATGTTTTAAAATACTTATTTCCACACAAAACTTGGGTTAAAAGGCCGACACTGTTTCTAATTCGATCACAGAATGTGCAAGGATATATAAACTTTTGTTTTGACTCAATCATATTAATAGGAGAACAATCCGTGTAAGAATGATAATGTGCAATTATTACACTTAAATTGCGCTTCGACATAACCGGGACCGTATATTCCACAATCATGACAAATTTTTTGACTACACATAAAACAACATTGATATTTCATTGATACTAACGTATAATGACACCGATCACATAACCCGTTGTTTTGAGTACTCAATCTTTCATAATTAGTTGGTGAACCATACAATATCGCTGGATACAGACTGTTACTAATAGGTGGATGGTAAACACATTTCGTAGGAGATAAATTGATCAGAGATAAACGTTGTGGAGTTCTGATAGCCGAAGAATCATTTAATGTTGAAGTTGCGCAATGAATATCGGTACTTATTGATGTTGGTGTACTAGTTGGAGTTGAGAAATGACAGTTCATTAAACCGCTTAATTTCTTTCTCGTATTGGACTTTTGCTTTATTATACGCTTTTTCTTTTCTGATTTTTGAGATTTAGCCTTTTCCTTCTCTAATAATCGCGCCATAGCTTCGGATGACGTGAGGCATTCACCATCATGTCGCGGAATGAGTTGTTGACGCTGTTTGCGTTTTCGTGAAGGCGATATTTCCATATGTTTGCGAATCGTATTATGAATGATTTCTTCCAGAGATTTTTGATCATTTAAATTAACTGAAGAAAGGAATGAATAAGGAATTTGGAGACAATTTTTTGAAAATAAAATACTGACCAGTATTTAATGATGGAGCATGACTCATGAGCCTCTTTTGTTTTCTGTTTTCAAGGAATTTATCCTCATCATCTTCAGAATAATCCTTTAAACTTGATGGGTCTTCGACATTTTTGTTCATACACAGATAAATTCAATTTCTGGAGCATACTGGAAGCAACGATTACGATGACCGGGTTTATTAGCCAAAGAATCGTTGAAAGTTCCAATCCCTAGCAGTATTTTCTTCAAACTCACCATCTGAATGATCTTATATAGCTTTTTCAGTTAACAGTGCTTGTAAATCTGGACTAGAATTATCTGTTGTTGAGCAAATAATCGATGAAATATATGGTAGTGGTGTATTTATGAATAATGAATTTTGCACACTATAGCTTGTAGGTTCAACTGTAGTAGAATTAGACTGATCTTCTAACTATGTAACTAATAATCGATGAAACTAATAATCTCGTTTAGACTATAACAAACCATCAGGACCAATACAGTTATCGAGTTCGGCAGGCAACTGCAGAATCAAGTGCCACTAGTGGATCATCAAAGTAAATATCAGCTTCGGCATATACACCTCGAGCTAGAGACGCTCTTGCTTTTTGACCACCAAGAGATACGTGACACGTGCTCATTAACAGTCGCTTAATAGATAATTACTAACCTTAAATTCACACCTTTTTGACCCATGACAGTTAAATCATCTGCCGGCTCAAATTGTTTTAAATCGTCTTTTAAACACATTGCCAGGATAACTTGCTTATATTATTTAGTATGATGCAACAAAATGGAAGTTCGGAAAATATATATTTTACCTGA